TGCCATAAAGTTCAAAAATGACCATCTCTTCTCTGCGTGTGAAATGGGAAAGCTTAAAAGAGCATCCCATAAAACTAAGACAGATGTGTCCTGCATCAGACCTCTGCACACATGCTTCATGTGGATCTTTGTGGTCCAATCTCTACGCAAAGCTTGTCTGGTAAGAAGTATATGTTAGTCTTAATTGATGAATACTCACGATATACTTGGATTGAGTTTGTAAGGCAGAAATCAGATGTACCAGAGCTGCTAATCAAACTAATGACCAAGATTCAAGTACTTCTACAAAGCAAAATTCAAAAGCTGAGATGTGATAATGGAACAGAGTTCAAGAACGCTGAGATTGATGTGTACTTGGACACATAAGGAATAACTCAGAACTTCTCTACAGCAAGAACACCACAACAAAATGGGGTCGTAGAAAGAAAGAACAGAACTTTGGTCGAAGTTGCACGAACCATGCTAGCCAACTCTGGTCTTCCAACCCATTTTTGGGCAGAAGCAATCTCTACGGCCTGCTTTATTCAAAATAAGGCAACGGTGGTTAAGAGGCACATGAAGACGCCTTACGAACTAATAAACCAAAGAAATCCTAACATCCAATTTTCACATGTCTTTGGTTGCAGATGCTTCATCCTAAATGATCGAGATCAACTTGGCAAGTTCGATAAAAAGGCCGATAAAGGCAAGTTCCTTGGTTACTCAACAAAAGACAAGACAAACAGAGTCTTCAATCAACGAACCAAGACGGTCGTGGAAAGCATCAACATCTCGTTCGATGATAAAGAACACCTGACTTCAGAGTACCTCAGCTCTGGACTCGATCTTAACCTAAAGACTTCCAATTCTCAAATGAAGTCAAAGGAATTGGAACTCAGGCTCCTATTTGAAGACTTCTTTTGTGACGAAGACATCTCTGTACGTGCACCAAGAGATGAATCTACGAGTATAAGTGAAGGATCACAAACGGCAAGCACATCTGAATCTGGTCCTTCACACACCTCTGCTTCCTCTGAAGATCATATCTATCCACAACCAGAGCAAACTAGCTTTGCATCAGAGCCCAGTCACAAAGAACCAGAGCATCATACCTCTGGCTTTGTACCTGGTTCCTCTGTACCATCATCCGAGGGGAGCAAGCAGAGCCTTTTTCACCATCAACGAGCTTACCACCAAACATGCCCATGGAACGTGATCAAACATCCCCTACTTCTCTATTTGTCCCAAGAACAAAATGGACAAAGAATCATCCTCTTCACTAGATCATTGGTGAACCTTCAGGTGGCATTAAGACACGGGCTGCCACAACTAATGAATGTTTATTCGTAAACTTCCTTAGCATGRTAGAGCCTAAGAAAGTACATGAAGCCCTACAAGATCCTAGTTGGGTCGATGCCATGCAAGAAGAGCTCCAACAATTTGARAGAAATAAGGTATGGACTCTTGTTCCTTTACCAAAAGAGAAAGTTGTTGTAAATGGGTTTTTAGAAACAAGAAGGATGAGGATGGGATCATAGTAAGAAATAAAGCAAGGCTCGTAGCAAAAGGCTATTGCAAGGAAGAAAGCATAGACTATGACGAGACCTTTGTGCCAGTAGCAAGGCTAGGAGCTATACGCTTGTTCTTAGCCTTCTCTGCACATAAGGGATTTCGAGTCTACCAAATGGACATAAAGTCAGCCTTCTTGAATGGTAAGCTGAAGGAGGAAGTCTATGTTCAACAACCTCCGGGGTTTGAAAGCTCCACATACCAGAGTATGTTTATTTCTTATACAAAGCTCTGTATGGACTTAGGCAAGCACCTTGAGCCTGGTATGAACGTCTCTCGTCTTTCCTCTTATCTAATGGTTTTGAAAAAGGTAAAATCGATACAACTTTGTTTATTAAGAGGTATAAAGGTGATATGCTCTTAGTACAGATATATGTGGACGATATCATCTTTAGTTCAATGAACCAGAGGCATTGTGATAAGTTATATGTGTTAAAGAAGAGTGAGTTTGAAATGAGCATGATGGGAGAATTGACCTTCTTCCTCGGCTTGCAAGTAAAACAGAGGGAGGATGGAATCTTCATTAGCCAAGCTAAGTATATCTCCGACATATTAAACAAGTACCAACTCCATAACTCTTCCACCATGAGAACACCAATCGCTACGGGTACTAAGCTTGACACAAATCCATCTGGTAAACCAGTGGATGTTAAGACTTACCGTGGAATGATTGGATCACTACTATACCTCACGGCTAGTAGACCAGACATCATGTTTGCCACATGTCTTTGTGCCCGTTTTCAAGCAAATCCAAAGGAATCTCATCTTTCGGCTGTAAAAATAATCTTTAGATACCTTAAAGGGTCTCAATTTTTGGGTCTTTGGTATCCAAAGCATTCTGGTTTCGATCTTATTGCATACACAGATTCTGATCATGCAGGTTGTAAACTCGATCGAAAGAGTACATCATGGAGCTGCCAATTACTTGGGGACAAGCTCATAAGCTGGACCTCGAAGAAGCAAAACTACGTCTCTACTTCCACCGCTGAAGCAGATTATGTAGCTACAGCCAGCTGATGTTCCCAAGTGATAAGGATGAAGACTCAACTGAAAGACTATGGCGTAGAGTTTGATAGGTCCAGAAATCATACAAACATGAAGCAATCTTCAAGAATCATGATGAAAATCAAAGATAGAAATAATATGATCAAAGGATGATTAGATTGAGAGAGAGAAAGAATTACAGCACTAATCGCGATAATTCTGTTAATGATGATTGTTAATGACAATTACAAGGAAATCACTATTTATACTAGGAAATTGTAAAGGCTAAACTGTTACAAAACAATTACACTAAGGAGAAACTTGAATACAATATTAAAGCACATTCTGTGTGACTCAGAAAGTGCTATTGCAATCACAGCCAACCTTGTGCAACATTAAAAAACAAAGCACATCGATGTTCGATACCATTTCATCAAGTACCATGTAGAGAAAGGTACGATTGAAATGTTCTTTGTAAATATAGATTTACAACTTGCTGACATCTTTACAAAAGCTCTTGATGAAAAGAGATTTAATTTTCTAGTTAGCAAGTTGGGTATGCTAAATCTCTCAATCTAAACCAGAGCCTCTTTTTGCACTATACAGAGCCTTTGCATTCCTTTATGCATATCTCTGCTTTTATCTGTATTGATCCATGAGACAGAGCTTCTACATAGTTCATACAGAACCTCTTACTCAAGTCCTAGCTCTTTTGTGATACAGAGCCTCTGTATAGTACATACAGAGCCTCTTTACCTCGACTATTATGCATATGTTCTACTTATCACAAATGATCCAAGCATAGTTCAAGGGGGAGCAGATAAGAAAAGCTCAACTCATGGGGGAGCACGACATCATATCAAACAGAGCCTCTGTATGTACTATACAGAGCCTCTGCGTTAAAACTCATGATTATAGAATAGAGCCTCTGCCTATAAACATAGCAAAGTTTTCTTCAGAAGACATGTATAGTCCAATCACAAATCTCTGTCTGAGATCCCAAGGTATGTCTTCTTCTGCATATAGTTCTCTGGTTCTCATCAAAACTTGTATTTTTCTCGAACCAGAGCATTTACACATGGAAGTTTTTCTTGTTGTTTTTGGAAATTAAAATATATTATTTTTATAAGAGGGCGTAAGTTTTATTTTAATTGTTTAATAAAAGTTGTTACCCACAATAAGCGTCACCGCCTGTGAGCTTATCTTTTCAAACGTGGGAGGCACCACTTGCAGCTGGCAATCCACGTGGCACGCGCCCACAGGCTTTGAGAAAACCGGTTCAGTTTTACCTGACGTTTGGGGCAATAAAACACTCAAGTGTTTTAATTTTATCCAATTTAAACAAATCTTTACCACCAAATTAATCTTTTACGCTTACAAAAATTCTCAAGAACTCCCGTCGTCTTCAACCTTCAATCGCCATTACCAGAACTTACAGCTCTCAAACCTGTGCTCAAAGATTGATTCAATCTTCAACCGATCATCCTGTTTGAAAAGTAAGTTCCACAAAATCCTTTCCTTCATCACATTTCTTGATTCAAGAACTATTTCTTGAAACCCTAAAATTCTGTTATCTCATTCCAAACCCAAAACCTGCAACAATGTCCTCCTCAGAATCTGGAAACTCCCAAACTCATACCACAACCCACAAAACCATGGAAGATACCAGTCAAAACCTAGTTCCTCTTCCGATCAAACAAAATAACCATGCCCTAAACCTCCAACTCGAAAACTTCGATACCAAATACCATCCCATCATCAATATCCTCGAAAACCACTTCTTGAAAACAGCCTTGACCAACACGGATGACCTAGTTCCTGAACGATACATCCAAGAATACTGGCAGTCCTGCTCCGTTGCTGAATCTCAAAAGAGGAATCGTAGAAGATTTCTTTGTCTTTGCCACACAAGAGTTTGTCACTGTTTGTATTTCAAGATCTATGTTTTCGCGGGTTCTTGAAATCCCAATAAAAACTGAAAAGGGCTTTCTGAATACGCCCCTCTCCCATTCGGGGACGAAATTGTTGCTTTCTTGAAGTTCTTGGGGTACAACAAGGCCATTCAATACCCGTCCCATTATCGCTGAGAATACCTACCACCAATGTGGAATACACTTTTCACATTGGTCAACCGCTTCCTGACAGGGAAGATAGGGAGTCTCGACATGTGCTCCATGAGCGTACTTCAAATAGTCTACGGTATTTTCTTTGACCTATCTCTTGACTACTCCTTGATACTCTACACAGAGTTGAAGGCAGTCGTGGCCAAGAAGTGTCATGAAGTGGCCAAAGGAAGACAGCTACCATTTCTGTTATATCCCTGATTCTTGGGTCTTCTCCTAAGACCAGCGCTCGACGACAACAATATTGATGTGGGTCGTCTACCTCCTCACAAGGTAAATGTACTAACTCAATACAGACCAACATTGAACAAGGAGGGTTATGAAGCAAAGAGGCTCATGAGCTACATGAAGTCTAAAGAGATTAGGAGAGCGTACAGACGTACACGTGAGACACTAGGACCAGTGTCTCGAACCCCGTTATGCATAGGAACAACCGAAGAAGAAGAGAGAACTGAGGACACATCAATGCCTCAGGTAGAGGGAGGAACAGTGAGAGTAGGAGAAGAAAGAATGAGAGATAAGGAATAAAGAGAGAGAGTACAACAACAAAGAGAAAAAGAGAGAAAACGATAGGAAGCAAAGAAAAAGAAAGCTGAGAGGGAGAAGAAGAAAAAGGAGGCGGCAAAACGAGCAGAGCAAGAAAAATTAGCTGAGATTGCTCGTGCTAAAACAGAGGAGGAGCAGGCAGAAAAGGCTCGCCAAACAGAAGTCGCTCGCCTAAGAGAAGAGGCCAAACAAAGAGCTGAAGAAGAAGCTTGTCAAACCTTGGCTCACTCCTCTAGTCCAAACCAAGGGGATGACCAAGAGCACTATGACGATGCTGCACGGTCTTACACAAGTGAGGGAAGTGAGGAAGAGGAGGAAGAGAGTGAGACAGAAAGTGAGGGAGAAGAAGAGGAGAGCGAGGAAGAAGAAGAGGGAGGAGGTGAAGCAGTTGCTCTGCCTCAGGGTGGGACAGAGTAGCCTAGGCTAAATAAGCACATTAGATTTACCTACCCAACTCCCATTGCAACCACATTATCTGACTCCGGTGGTCGAGACACGGAGATTATTGAAACAGAGGTGCACACCTCGAACCCTCACCAGCCTATCCAACCAGAGGTCGCATCTGTCTCTAGTTATATTAGCCAAAGGGAAGCCTCGCCACAGGGAACACCCTCTCAAAAGGGTGTAACCTTTGAAAACATAAGTGATATGTCTCCCCATATCACGCCACTTTCCCATACAGAGGAATTTGTTTCCTCTGCACAAGTAGACCCCCAACCTTGTTCAGAACAAGGAATAGGTGCACTAGACTTTGAGATTCTCGACCAGTCATTTATTCCACTCATGGAGAGCCCTCTAGCTGGCTCTGAACCAGCCTTGGGTACTCTCTTTGACAGAATAGAGGTAGTGAACTCTCCTCAAGGAGAACCACGAGGATCCTCTGGAAGTCCTTCCCCGACTAACGTCAATCAAGTCGTGAATGAAGGCATCCTTGGAACGGGGACTCAATCTGGCCCATGTGTTGAGCCAGAGGTTACACCATCTGCATGTGTCACTAGGGAAGAGTTCCATTCTTTTTTCACCTCTATGCGATGCTCCTTGGAAGAGCTAAAACTCAGCATGGCCCGTGTAGAGCCGTCACCTTCTACACCTGCTCTAGATGAGATACGAGCATCCTTGGAAGTACTAAGAGCTGAGTCCATGACAAATGCTTCTCATATCAACACTCTAATGGAATTGACGACAACCAATACAGCAACATTACAACAGGTCGTTGCTTCTCTACAGAGGGTTGAGGCGTCTATGTCTATCAACAACCAGGCCCTCATACCTCTGAATATACTGGTGGGCTATGTCACATAGAGCGCCATGAATGCTCTGGGTGACAGACTCCTATAGAAGGTGGCAGACTTCACTGCGGATTTTAGTAGCAAGGCCACAACAACAGCGAAGAACATCAATGACACTCTTGCATGATTCAAATACCGTTCAGACGACGAAGTGCGAAGGGTTGCCGTTACAATCGATGAACTCCTCAAGACCATTGAGGAGGTGATCAAATCCATGTCTCAAGCAGAGGATGAAAGACCTAAGCGACAGAGAGATCTATCTCCATGTGCAGAACCGTCAAAGAGGAGGCGCCTTGACGATGATAAGGACCCAGATGAGTCTTGTCCTCAAAATTGCCAAGAAGGGGAGAACTTGCCTACAGCCACACCAAGTACAACACCTCTGGCTGCCCCTATGCACCATCGTCCTCTGCCCCACGCCAACAAGGTCAAAGTCAATCAAGGCAGAGCAGACAAAGGCAGCAAGTGCTAGACAACGCAGAGGCACTACGCAAAGGGAAAATATCCCATGGCATCAGAGGCCGAGCCGGTCGAGCCACAAAAGACTAAACAAGTGATCGACCTTCTATCTGCCTATGGATCAGACGATTCAGACCTGGTACTGTCCTCTTCAACAGAGTACGCTATGGACATGGCTGCTCCCTCAACAACAGCTCAACAAGAAGAAGAGGTGGTCGCCGTGAATGTGGTTGATCCATCACTCCTACACATTCTGGTTGCCATTCCTCTAGAAGAAGTAACCATTGCTACTCTTCCACCACATCCAAGAACCCACAAAGCTAGGGTTCCTTCTCAAGGGACCAAGGTTGTCACTCCTGTGATGAAGCAGATACCGGTCAATCCAAATAGAGCAGGGTCAAAAGGCACAACGAGTTGGCAAAAACAAAAGCATCCTTCTGATCATGTCCAAAGGATCAAAGCAAGTATGGATGCCATGTTCAACCCAACACCCCTCAACAAACCCATCAAGGACAAGGCATATAGCGAGAAGAGCAGTCTCTATCCTATGTCTCAACAGCACATCAGGCAGAGATTCCTTGATCACTATACTCAACCAATCACTGCAGTCCACTTTGCTGATGAAATAAAACAAGTCCTGGACATAAAGAAGGACACCTTTGCGCATAATCAGAAAGTGTTCTACGAGTACACAGTTGAGAGGACTCACAGATGGATATGTAGGTTCACAGATTGTGAACTCAATAATCTAAATTCGTGGGATCTTCTTCATCTGTTCTACTTTATAGACCACAAGAAGGACAAGAGAGTGAAGTTCACTGTTGCTAACTCTACCATTCTCCAAAAAATGACAGATCTGCTCGACTATAGAAGCAAGTTCGACTTTCAACTAGCTCTGGATCTAGAAGCAGATCAAATGACAGTGGTTGCCCCAAATGAAGAATTACATGGCATCAACAACATTCCTTCCTGGATGGTTTTGGTGGAACCGGAAGTGGGAGTGCTGTTTTGAAACAAACATAATTAAAAGATCTTCTTTCGAGACAACCAAAATTACAAGTACTCCAACTCTACTCTGTGGTATATAAAAGACAATCTGGTCAGGAGCAAAGACAACTCCCTTGGAGCCAAGGAGCGAGCCAAAATAATTCTAAGGTCGATTCGAAATATGCTTGAGTTTCATGAACTTCTTAGGAAGTTCATTAAACTTCAAAATGTTTAAGACCTCTTATCATTTGTAAGTACCTTCTTATTTTTGATTCAATGTAATTTCAATTTCAATCGTATTGTACTTCATTAGATAGTCAATGTAAACTAGAGGTTGTTTTTAACCTCTGTTTTTAATTCGATCTGTTTCGTAAATCAAGTAAGAATCATTCTTATTTACACTTAGGGGGAGATTGTTAGACCCCAAACTTGTAAAAGTGTAAATAAGAAGTATCTTGCTCTAGTCAATAGGGCTTAGTCTATTGAAGCTGTCCGGCTAAGAGCTCTCATGCAGAGGATCAAGGACTAGAGCTGTTATTCAGGGTGACGGTTCCTTTCATTCAGAGCCCGCTCTCTATCTTCGTGAACGTTCAAGCCTTGTGCGCCAAAAAGCATAAGCGCTTGAATCAAAGCAACAACTCCAAGACCCAGAGCCTCTGCATAGTCCATGCAGAGCTTCTGTATGTTCATGCAGAGCATCTGACTACCTTCTTCAAGAAAAGCGCGTGTTAGCCCAGACATTGTCGCAAGCGTCTAACAGCTTAAAGGCGCATTGACCAAGTCTGCTCCATAATCAAGGAAAGTCAAAGATAAGGATGCATACCAGTGAGCTCAGAGTTCCACGCCTAATTTATAGCGTAGTTAGTTAGACCTAGGTGTATAAAAAGAGGCCTCCGCCTCAGGTTTAAAGTACCTGAAGGAGCCGACTTATACTATACACAAATTATTGTGAGATTACTTTTGTTCTTCAATTATTCATCATTTTCAATAAAAGCATTCGGTTATTCAAAGTTCTATTTACTGCTTTACACTTTTCTTTGAATATCATGTTTAATCAATAGAAATAAATTTTCTTGATTCTTATGTTAAGCAAACAATATTTCTACGAATTAAGAGTATCTGGGTTCCAACAAATTCCATCTAATTGTAAGATAAATACTAATTACGAAGTATTGATGTTCTAAAAACCCATGTTGTATAGTTTTTAGACACAAAAGCTACAATTTTGTATAATCTTTAAAAGGTTTTCAATTAAGATGGGTTTTTGGATGAAAATCATTTTGTCATGGAACCAGAGGAGCTCTGGTTGTTCATGATTTATTGGGTGAGGAACCAGAGGTCTCTGGTTGTGAGTGATAAACAAGTTCATCAATGAAATGTTGGGTTGTATGAATAATAAGCCTTGGTTAGACAAACCAGAGGCTTTGTGTAAACATGGACAACCCATTATGTAGAACCAGAGGGGCTCTGGTTGCATACACATATTTGATTCATCATTTATCTAGCATTTTGGTGTCCAGAGGCTCTGGATAGTAGAACAAGATGCTCTAGGATGGAAAATGCATACTTATGCAATGAAAACTTTTTATGATGAATGAAAAGCTCCCCCTCAAATGATGCATGGGGATGAGATATGAGTTTAAACCTCCCCAAGAACCAATAGGGAGGTTGATTTTGATGACCAGAGGCGCTGGTCTATACAACCAGAGGCTCTGGTTGTGAAGTCGAAGAAAAATAATATGAAATGTGACTAAGTATAAGAATGGACATGAAAATGAGTGGGTCTTTGACACCATAGGGCTCTGGTTCCAAAGACAACAAGTCCAGAGGCTCTAGTCTTTAGAACCAGAGGCTCTGGTTGCACAGGTGATGAAAAATAGTTATGAAGGGATGGTGAAGTATGTGTAAGATGGTATGAAAAGATGGAGCCTTTGAGACCAGAGGGCTCTATTTGCAAAAGTGATGCAAACGAATATGAAATATTGGTTAAGTGCATGTATGTAGGTTTAAAATGGATGTGACTTTGAGACCAGAGGGCTCTGGTTTCAAAGACTTTGAATCCAGAGGCTCTGGTCTTTAGAAGCAGAGGCTCTAGTTGAGAAAAGAGTACTTAGTGAAAAAATTCACAAAGTATTGGCTTTGGACCAGATGTCTCTAGTTCCAAAGAATGATGGAAAATGACGTGATTATATGCATGAATGATCAAGGAAGTCCAAGTTTGAGACCAATGAGACTCTAGTCAAAGAATTGGAATCCAGAGGCTCTGGTCTATACAACCAGAGGCTCTGGTTTGGAGGGGAATATTGGTGAGAAAATGCCAAGTATTTGCTTTGGACCAGAGGTCTCTAGTTCCAAAGGCGATGAAAATTTTTGCCAAAAAAATAATCTAAATGATTCTAAATGGCCAGAGGCTCTGGTCTGTATAACCAGAGGCTCTGGTATAGGATACTTGGAGTTTATGGCTATTATACTATATGTCACTTATAGGCATAACCATGAGATATTGAGGATCTCTGGTTTCAAACTAATTATTGCCTCTAAGTTGTGAGATTCAACATACCCATCTTGCTGACTAGGAATAATAATCTTTTCTCATCAAGAGCTTTTGTGAAAATGTCAGCAAGTAGGATCTCAATATGAACAAAGTAGGATCTCAATATGAACAAAGTACATCTCTATATTACCCTTTTTCAACATTGTCTTTTAGAAAGTGGAACCTTACATCGATGTGCTTGGTGTTTGAATGCTGCACAGGATTTACAGAGATAGCTATTGCACTCTTAGAGTCACAGAGAATTGGTATCTTTTCATATTGAAAGACATAGTCCTTAAGCTGAGTCTTCATCCAAAAAACGTGTGAACAACAACTAGCAGCAACAACATATTTTGCTTCTGCTGTAGAGGTTGAGAGACAATTATGTTTTCTGGATGTCCAACTTACCAGCTTGTCCCCCAAGAGTTGACAGCTTCCAGACGTACTCTTTCTATCAAGCTTGCATCCTGCATGATCTGCATCTGTATAGGCCATTAGATCAAAACCAGAGTTGTTAGGATACCAGAGACCCAATGAAGGAGTTCCCTTAAGGTATCTAAAGATCCCCTTGACTGCAGATAGATGAGATTCTTTAGGATTGGATTGATACCTTGCACAAAGACATGTAACAAACATAATATCTAGTGTACGAGCAGTCAGATACATGAGTGATCTAATCATGCCTCTGTAGGTTGTTACATCCACAAATTTGGCTGATGGATAAGCAAATAACTTAGCTCCTGTAGCCATAGGTGTTCTCATCGATGATGAATTTGAGAGAGAGTATTTCTTCAGAAGGTCAGTCACAAACTTGGACTGATTGATGAAAATCTCTTCTAAAGTTTGTTTGATTTGAAGACCAAGAAAGAAACTAAGTTCTCCCATCATACTCATTTCAAATTTGCTTTTCATCAGCTCTGAGAATTTTTTTCAATGTTTTGCATTTGTAGAGCCAAATATGATGTCGTCCACATATATTTGTACAAGAAGTATGTCACCTTTATGCTTCTTGAGAAAGAAGGTTGTATCGATTGTACCTTTTTCGAAGCCATTGTTGATGAGAAAGGTGGATAGAGTTTCATACTAGGCCCTGGGTGCTTGCTTTAGCCTATAAAGGGCTTTGTTCAGAAAGTAGACATACTATGGATGTTTTGGATCTTCAAACACAAGAGGCTGCTGTACGTAAACTTCTTCTTGGAGTTTGCCGTTGAGGAAGGCAAACTTGACATCCATCTGATAGACTTAAAGCCTTTGTGAGCTGCATAGGCTAGGAATATCCTGATGGCTTCAAGTCTTGCGACGGGAGCAAATGACTCATCGTAGTCAATCCCTTCTTCCTGGCAGTAGCCTTTGGCAAGAATCCTGGCCTTATTTCTTATTGCTATGCCATCTTCGTCCTTCTTGTTTCGGAAGACCCATTTGGTTCCTATGGTCGTCTTCCCTTTGAGTAGAGGCATAAGGGACCATACCTTGTTTCTCTCAAACTGGAGTAG